CTAAAGGTCCAATATTAGAAAAAAAAAAAGCAAAAACAAATCTACAAATAAACAAACAATATTATTTACATTGTTCACATTCAAACAATATGGCATCAATTATTTGAATTCAATTGCATTATTTCAGTAGTATCAACATAGATGAAGCTGCAGAGGAGAAGAGCATCGAGGAAAAACACCTTCACACTGCAAAAAATGCAAATCTAAATAAGTCATTTTTGCTCAAATTTAGTGCAGTTTTTCTTGAATTGAGGAGGTAAGTGTGACACTTTGCCAATGGAACAAAACAATTTACATTTAAAATAAGAAAAAACTATAGTTTTGTCTTAATTCAAGCATACTTTAGCTAATTATCTTATTTTTGGAGTAAAAATACTAATTCCATTGGCAGGTCATCTTATTTACCTGCTCAAATTAAGGGTAAATACACTTAATTCAAGACATTTTTCACTCATTTCTAGATGTTTTTTGCAGTGCAAAATGACTAATGAATTGTTTTATCTGTGAAATCAGTCATTGGATTAATTTTTGCCATGTTTCAAACATGCCAGACATACTGTTGCACATTTTTTTTCATTATTTTCCTTCAACAACACATTTATTAACTACTTTTTGTTTTTGATTAGCTAAAACCCTCATAAAACCCATGTTTTACACTGGAAAAAATCGAAATCTTGATAAGTCATTTTTTCTAAAAATTAGTACATTTTTTCTTGGATTGAAGAAGTAAAAGAGACATTTTGCCAATGGAACAAGACAAATTACACTTAAAATAAGAAAAAAACAATTGCATTGTCTTATTTTAAGTGCATATTATCTAATTATCTTATTTTTAGAGTAAAAATTCTCATTCCATTGGCAAAATTTCTCATTTACCTACTCAAATTAAGGGTAAATACACTTAATTTAGGACATTTTTACTTATTTCTAGATGGTTTTTCCAGTGTAAATGATAATAGGATTATATGTGGCCTAGCTGGTGTCATACACTGGAAAAAATCCAAATCTAGATGAGTCATTTTTTTCTTAAAATATGTGCATTTGTTCTTGAATTGAGAAGGTAAAAGGACATTTTGCCAATGGAACAAGACAATTTACATTTAAAATAAAAAAAAGCAATTGTATTGTCTTATTTCGAGTGCATTTTCTCTAAATATCTTATTTTAAGAGTTAAAATACTCATTCCATTGGCAAATCGTCTCATTTACCTGCTCAAAATAAGGGTAAATACACTTAATTTAAGAATTCCTTACTTATTTCTAGACCGTTTTTGCAGTGTAAATGATAATAGGATTATATGTGGCCTAGCTGGTGTCATGGAAATCAGCTGAAACACTAATGATGCCTGTGATTAGGATCACCCAGGAGCCCAGCTCTGGTGACAACCCTCTAAAGGTGAGCTAACACAAACAGATCTCTGCTCTCTTAAGCTCTCACTATCCTGTGAGCCAAACTTTACAGAAAACTATTCAAGAAAGCCATGCAGTCTGTGGCAGACTCTGAACTAATGTGCAATGATAAATTGAGCATTTGCATATGTTAGCAGCCCTGCAGGCATAATTTAAAGCGGTGTTTACAGGGCGGGAAAACGTGGACCGATGCTAATTAAGTTTGTCTCTTGCTGTTAGCTGCTGATTGAAGCTGACACGGTAGGTTTGTGCTGAAGGTTGCTGCAGCGGGGACTCTGTTTCCTGAAACTGGAGGCCAGAGCCCCACGGAGGCAAACCCTGGGAGGGGAAATGACAGTTTGCTTTGAAATTACTGCCTGCCAACATAACCAGACTAAATGGACGGCCCATTTCTGATCGAGCTTGATTAGCTTCACTTTACTGCGTTAAACCTTTGCCCTTTTTAAACTCCTCACAACAGGCTTGGATATAATGATTGTTTTCTGTCATAATCGTAGTTTGCAATAGAAAGTGACAGGATGTAAACGGTTTGCAGTTTGAGTGTGTCTGGGACTGCTCAGAATGAGCAGACTTGTTCTCAGATAGCTTACAAAATGCCAGCTTTGTTTGGAAATATAAACAGAGTCTGAAGTGTTAGGCATAAGCATTACGAGTGCAGCCAGCCAGCTGAAATGAAAACATAATAAAGGAGGAAAATAATAAGCCAGAAAGAAATTAAACGACTTTTTAATCAGATTCTGCACATTTCATTAAGCCTTCATGAAGAGTTTTTCAATTGCTTGTGTTCTTACACCTCTCAGCGTTGTGAATTTTAATAGGTTGTAAAACCCTTTAACTTAATGAGGCCAGAGAGATCAGGAATTATGTGCAGCACTTCTCTAAAGATGTGTGAAAAGTTTTAAGCATTAGAGTAACATATTCTCACACCGCAAAATGTTATTTTTTGGAGAAATAATTGCTCTCAATAAAATCCCCTTTGAGTCATTGCCACTTTTGAGGTTATAACTTTGTTAAAAATCCTTATTTAAGGAGGAAACCTGTTATTCTCTATCACAATCACAAGGCTGCAGCAAACAGAAAACCATCTTTGACAATTCCTCTCTACACAATCTCTCAGGAATGTCCAGAGTCATGCGAGCTTTTCTCATCTCATCCTACAGTTGTTCTTTGGGATTTAGTTCCTTGGATTGATTCATTCTGTGTCTGATTAACCATGTCTGTGAGAATGAGCCACATTTTGTGAATCGTGATCCTTTTAATTGGCCAAAAAAAAGCAAATTTTCTAGTTTCTTTAGTGGAGAAAACTGATGTTCTAGTTAAATTGTCGTAAATAGAAACAAGGTTTAAAGGCCGCTTGAGGACCAAATAGCATCATGGATCCTGCACCGTGTTCAGATGCATGTTACCACACTACTCTACGGCTGTGAAACATGGACAGTCTATCAGCGTCATGCCAAGAAGCTGAACCACTTTCACACCACCTGCCTCAGGAAACTTCTGGGTATAAAGTGGCGAGATAAGATCCCAGACACCGAGGTCCTCACCCGTGCTGACCTGCCCAGCATTTACACTAGGGTTGTCAAAAGTATCGAGAC